AGTGTGAAGTTGAAGCCTATGGAATTGCTAACTCTTGGCTATTTTGACCAACAAAAATAGTGGTTTCATATAGATCAAGCAGGGCTCAAGATTGTGCTTCAGGGAAAAATGAGCGGTTGAGGTCAGGAGGGAGAGGGACTGCTTGGGAGACAGACATTAAACAAGGATTGGGAAATATTTAGATAACACCCTTTTACATTATTCATTTATAACTGATAATTCAAAAAGAGATTTTTATCCAACAGCATTACCACCTGCAGACAACAGAATCCTATATGAATGAAGGGAATTTTTCTTCCCTCTGCTTCTGAAGGTTTAATAATTTGGGTCTATAGAACAAATAGACAATAGACAGATTAATAGGAGAAAAAACATATAAATTTATTTTACATGCAAATGCACAGAAGCCATAGAAAATGTGAGACTCGAAGAAAAGCCAGATGACTGAAGTTCTTATACCATATGGAAAGAAATAGGAGCTTGGGGCTCCTGAGGGTAGGTGGTAGCAGATTATGGGATGGTAAGGGGAAGAAAGGCAAGTCAAGCAAAGCCTGTCTGACTATGCAGATGAAATCTCTCAAGTAGCAGTCCTGATAACAAAATCGATGGTAGCCTGTGGTAAAGGTTTCTCTGTCAGACCTTTTAAAGTGCCAGACTGGACATGGTGGCTCATGCCTGTAATCCCACTGCTTTGGGAGGCTGAGGTGGGAGGATTGCTTGAAGCCAGAGGTTCAAGACCAGCCTGGGCAACACAGAAAGACTCCATCTCTAAAAAATTTAAAAAAAAATGATCTGAGCTTGGTGCCATGTGCCTGTAATCCAAGCTACTCAGGAGGCTGAGGTGGGAGGATCACCTGAGCCTAGGAGTTTGAGGTTGCGGTGAGCCATGATCATGCCATTGCACTCTAGCCTGGGCAACAGAGTGAGACCCTAACTAAAATAAATAAATAAATAAATAAATAAATAAATAAATAAATAAATAAATAAACAAAATATAAAAGTGTCAGACCATCAGTCCCATTTTCCTGTGAGTTACTATTTCCTAGATATGGATCAGAGAACCTCAGAGAAAGCCTGTGCCTGAATCTCCTGTTTGCTTTACTAATGTAGATAGATGTAAATCTCTTTTACAAGAGGATAGCTTTTCAGAGCTATCCCCATCTGCAGCTTTTCTGAATAACCAACTTGAAATATGCCAAAGAAGTATATTTTGGGGTGGCATATTTTGGTTTCCCACACCACTCTAGCTAATTTAAGGAAGAGGGATTTGCTAGAAATGTACCAAATTGTTGAAACAGCTAGAGGAATAAGCTATAGGCTGGGATTACAGCAACAACTTTCCAGCTCACACCACAGAACTAATGGCAAGGGAGATACGGCTACCTCTGACTTCTGTATGAGGCTTCTTTCACTCTGGTCAGGAAACCACCCTCACCCTCACCAAGCCCTAAATCACACTGCCTCTGCCACAGTCAAGAAGCTGTTGTTGCCACCCCTTCAGAAATATGCTACTTCCAATTCCCCCCAGCTTCAACAAAATGGATGCCCAAATGCCCTGTCTGTTTCTTCATAGGTCATCTCTAAAAACTAGAGGCAGAGGCAAAATATGTATTTTATATTATGTCACAGTACCATAACTTGCCTCTCTTTATACGTATAATTGCCTTAAGTATTTCCTCTGTATATATTAAGCACTACAATAGATATTATAATTTTTGCCTCAATTGTCAAATATGAGCTAAGAAATTCATAAGGAGAAGAACATTGAAGAATATTATATATTTTTAAATTTTTATTTATTTATTTTTCTTTTTGAGACAGAATTTCGCTCTTGTTACCCAGGCTGGAGTGCAATGGTGCGATCTCAGCTCACCACAACCTCCGCCTCCTGGGTTCAGGCAATTCTCCTGCCTCCGCCTCCCGAGTACCTGGGACTATCGGTGTGCACCACCATGCCCAGCTAACTTTTGTATTTTTAGTAGAGACGGGGTTTCACCATGTTGACCAGGTTGGTCCTCAATCTCTTGATCTCGTGATCCACCCGCCTCAGCCTCCCAAAGTACTGGGATTTATAGGCGTGAGCTACCGCGCCCGGCCCATGTTTTTAAATTTTCATCCATTTTATTGTTCTTTCTTTTCTGAACTTCAAGCTTTCTTCTAGCATTTCTTTTCTGTTTGGAGAGCTTCTTTTAGGCAGGCTTTTTTTTTTTTTTTTTTGAGACGGAGTCTCGCTCTGTTGTCTAGGCTGGAGTGCAGTGGCACAACGTCGGCTCACTGCAACCTCTGCCTCCAAGGTTCAAGCAATTCTGCTGCCTCAGCCTCCTAAGTAGCTGGGACTATAGGTGCACACCACCACCCCCAGCTAATTTTTGTATTTTTAGTAGAGAGGGGTTTCACCATGTTGGCCAGGATGGTCTCGATCTCTTGACTTCGTGATCCGCCAGCCTTGACCTCACAAAGTGCCGGAATTACAGGTGTGAGCCACTGCACCTGGCCTCCTTTAGGCATTCTTTAAGGGTAGATCTGCTGGCCACACACTCTCTGATTTCTCCTTCATTCTTAAAATACAGTTTCACTATATGTAGGATTCATGGTTGACAGTTCTTCTCTTTTAGCACTTGCAAAATGTTGAGCCACTTCGTTCTGGCCTCCCTGGTTTCAGATGAAAAATCTGTTCTCATTCAAACTAGTGTCTGCCTATAGATAATGCATTCCTCCTTGGTTGCTCTTAAGATTTTTTTTCTTTCATCTTCGGAAGTTTAATTATGAAGTGTTCTGGTGAGGATTTCTATTGATAGGTCTTATTTGGGGTTCACTCGGCCTTGTAAATCTGTAGGTTTTTGTCTTTCACCAAATGTGGGAAGCTTTCAGCTCTTGTATTTTGAATACTTGCTTAGCCTTCAAATCTTTCTGGAGTCTTTCCGGGACTCTGAAACCATGAATGTTAGATCTTCTGTTACCGTCTCCCTGTTTCTTCCTTCCCACCTGCCACCTCATCTCTCTTCTGCCTGCTGATCAAATGGAACAAATTCAACAGAGCTGTCCTCAAGGTCACTGACTTTATCTTTTGTCATCTCTATGCTACCATTGAGCCTACCCAGTGAGTTTTTAAATTTTGTTGCTACACTTTACAATTCTGTGATTTCCATTTGGTTCTTTGCTGAGGTTTTCTATTTTTTCATATGTTTCAGAAGATTTTATAATTGCTTACTGACACATTATGGTAGTTGCTTTAAAATCTTTGCCAGATAGTTCCACCAACTGATTCATCTCACTATCATTGTCAGCTGATTGCCTTTTCTTGCTCCAGTTGTGATTTTCCTGGTTCTTGGTATGACAAGTCATTTTCAATTGTATTCTGGACATTTTGCACATTATGTTATGAGACTCTTGATTCTATATAAATCTTCTATTTTAGTAGGCAGCCGCCCTGTTTAGGTTTATTGTGTCAGTTTTGCCTACTTTCGTGGGCTATAGTTATAATGTCAGTTGCATTTTCTGAGCCTTCGCAATGCTATTCATGTCTGCTTTGTTCTTGTGACTCTGCTTAAGCTCCTACTGGGTTGTTACATATGGTGCCTACAGAGGCAGAAGGCACTTCTCTAGGTTGACTGGTGGCATTATGTGGGTGTAGGGGATGCCCTAGGTCACCTTCTCCCTCTGCATGAATGGCGGAAAGATACCAGGGCTGCTGGCACTGCCTGTGCAAGTGAAGGAGCCTACCTGCTGTTGCCTGGCGTGGAGCACTAGATGACCCGGCCTGCGTGGCTTTCACTGTTACCACTGATACAAGCAGACAGAGCCCACTGCTGCTGGTGGGGATGGGTGTGAAGTGGGTTGGCCCATTCTGATTCTTCTGTTGCCACTGCTGCAGGCATAGTGGCCTATTGTGGTCTGTGGCTGTAGAGTAGGAGAGTGGTTGGAAACTCATTTCTGCTGGTGCTAGTGCTGTGAGTGGATTGGGTCCACTGCTGTCACTGGGTGTGGGTCTCCCCACTGAGTTCTCCTTTTCTGGTCCCTTAGCCAGAGGGAGAAGCCTTCTGAGTGTGTGTATGTGTGTGTGCGTGCGCACGTGTGTTTCTGTCTCTACTTTGCCTGCCTGCCTTTCTCCTCCCTCTGTTTCCTTCCTTCCTCCCTTCCTTTCCCCCTTCTCTTTCCCTTCCCTTTCTCCTTCCCTTCCCTTTCTCCTTCCCTTCCCTTTTTCTTTCCCTTCCCTTCCTCCTTCCCTTTCTCCTTCCCTTCCCTTCCCTTCCTTTTCTCCTTCCCATTCTCCTTTACTTCCCTTTCTCCTTCCTTTCCCTTCCTTTTTTTTTTTTTTAGGCAGTTTCGCTCTTGTTACCCAGGCTGGAGTGCAATGGCACAATCTCCACTCACCACAACCTCCACCTTCTGGGTTCAGGCAATTCTCCTGCCTCCGCCTCCTGAGTAGCTGGGATTACAGGCACGTGCCACCATGCCCAGCTAATGTTTTGTATTTTTAGTAGAGATGGGGTTTCACCATGTTGACCAGGATGGTCTCGATCTCTTGACCTCGTGATCCACCCGCCTCGGCCTCCCAAAGTGCTGGGATTGCAGGCTTGAGCCACCGCGCCTGGCCTCCCTTCCCTTTTACTTCCCTTCCCTTTCTCCTTGCCTTTCCTTTCTCCTTCCCTTCCCCTTCTCCTTCCCTTCCCTTCCTCCTTTCTTCCCTTTCTCCTTCCTTCCCTCTCTTGCTCTCTCCAATGGCTCTCTGGTTTCAGGCTGACTTGTGCCCAGGATATATAGAAGATAACTATATCTTCTATATATAGGGGAACCACTGTTGTGTAATCTTCAAGTCTCGAGTCCCTAGTCCATCCATCTTCTTTCTGCTGTTCAGAGTCCTTTTAGGATTGCTGAATTATTTCCATAGTACTTGGTTGTGTTTAAAGAGAAGAAGCCAGAAAAAGTGAGTTTGTATCATCTTCTCCTGAAACTGGAAGTTGCCTCAGGATTTTGAGTAAATGCTTGTTGGTTTAAGCCAGGGGTTCCCAGCCTAGGTCTTCCCTGTCTCCAAATTTCAGCAGCTTCGTGCATCTTGGCTGTGGGTCTAGAAGATGGGACCAAAGGGGAGAGGAGAAGTTGAACAGAAGTAAACTATGATTAAATCGAGTTTTGAAAAGTGCATGGATATGTGTGTGTGTACAATTTTTTAAAAATGATGGAGACCTTTAAATATATATTGAAAAAGAGAGACGGAAAAGGAGAGACCTTGAGGACATAATAATAAGGGAAATAATGTGAAAATCAGGGCAGGGTTAGGCAATTTTGGATCCAGGGATTCTAACCAGAGCAACTGACAATTGCACACCAGACATCCTAATGGTTCTCACGCCTTCTAGGGAGACAATGTGACAAGAATTAATCAGGATCCTAGGAGGAGCTTGTAAGGGCAACCAAAAAAGTCCCCCAGTTTGAATAAACATGAGTTACATTCTCATGAAATAATAACGTGTGCTTAAGGCATCTGACATTAAGCTGCAAATGCTGAAGGAAGCAGAGGAGAAAATAACAGAGGGCAGGAACGCTAAACCATGTGTCTTCATCAGTGTACCGCCTACTGAGACAGCAGATGGAAAGGATTCCCTTGGGAGGATTTGGAGAACGCTTGGTTCGGTTGCTGGTAAAACTGCTATCTCTGATGCACAGCTTTCAGGATCTAAGAAAAAGGCAATGAGAGAAGAAGGCCTTTGGGTGTCAAACAATCAGACGGGCCTGGTCTGGTCCACAGTCGTATTTGCCGAGAGAATCGTCTATCACAAATGGGCTATCATTCAGATGTTTCGGATCCTTAATATGTTCTTTCTCTGACTGTGAACTTGCTCATGAGGACTGAGTTCTCAGATACACAGGGAAGGTGATTTTCCACTAGAGAAAGCCAGCAGAGAGACAGCCGTGCACTGTGAAGTGACCTGAGAGGATGGGAATGGAGACGGGAAAAGGAATAAACAAGTATTTTGAGACAAAATGCACATGCCTGGAATCCCAGCATGGTGGGAGACCAAAGCAGGAAGATCACTTGAGGCCAGGAGTTCAAGACCAGCCAAGGCAACATATCAAGACCCTGTCTCTACAAAAAAATTGAAAAATTAGCAGGGCATGGTGGCATGCACTGTGGTCCCAGCTACTTGGGAGGCTGAAGCAGGAGGATTGCTTGGACCTGAGGTCAAGGCTGTAGTGAGCTGTGATCATGCCACTGTACTCCAGGCGGGACAACAGAGTGAGACCCTGTCTCTAATAGTTTGTAATAAATAGTTTGAAAATTTCATACATAGGAAAGTGGACAGAACAGTGAATCTTCATATACTCATCATCTGGATGTCATAACTTGTTAACATTTTTTCATATCTGCTTTATCTTGTTTCTATTGAAATATTTTAAAGTAGTTTACAGATGTTAAGATATTTTACTTGTAATATTTCAAGTAAATATTATAATCTTATAATATTTCAAGTAAATATATGTTTCTAAGAAATAAGAATATTTTCTCACAAAACCACAATGCCATTATCACATATTTATGATATCTTTCCCTCTAAATTTTAAATTTGGCCAGGTGCAGTGGCTCAGATCTGTAATCCCAACACTTGGGAGGCCAAGGCAGGAGAATCACTTGAACCCAGGAGTTCAAGACCAGCCTAAGCAACACAGTGAGACCCTGATCTATTAAAAAGTTTATGCGGTGTTTGATTTTCTGTTCTCATGTTAGTTTGCTGAGAATGATGGTTTCCAGCTTCATTCATATCCCTGCAAAGGATATGAATTCATCCCTTTTTATGGCTGCATAGTATTCCGTGGTATATATGCACCACATTTTCTTTATCCAGTCTATCATTGATGGGCATTTAGGTTGGTTCCAAGGCTTTGCTTATTGTGAATAGTGCCTCGATAAACATACATGTGCATGTGTCTTTATAACAGAATGATTTATAATTACTTGGGTGTATACCCAGTAATGGGATTGCTGGGTCAAACGGTATTTCTAGTTCTAGATCCTTGAGGAATAGCCACACTATATTCCATAATGGTTGAACTAATTTACACTCCCACAAACAGTGTAAAAAGCATTCCTATTTCTTCACATCCTCTCTAGCATCTGTTGTTTCCTGACTTTTTAACGCTCACCATTCTAACTGGTGTGAGATAGTATTTCATTGTGGTTTTAATTTGCATTTCTCTAATGACCAGTGATGTTGAGCTTTTTTTCATATGTTTGTTGGCTGCATAAATGTCTCCTTTTGAGAAGTGTCTGTTCATATCCTTCATCCACTTTTTGATGAGGTTGTTTGCTTTTTTCTTGTAAATTTGTTTAAGTTCTTTATAGATTCTGGATATTAGCCCTTTGTCGGATGAATAGATTGCAAAAATTTTCTCCCATTCTGTAGGTTGCCTGTTCACTCTAATGATAGTTTCTTTTGCTGTGCAGAAGCCCTTTGGTTTAATTAGATCCCATTTGTCTATTTTGGCTTTAGTTGCCACTGCTTTTGGTGTTTTAGTCATGAAGTCCTTACCTGTGCCTATGTCCTGAATGTATTGCCCATGTATATGTCCTGAATTGTATTATCTATGTTTTCTTCTAGGGTTTTAATGGTATTATATCTTATGTTTAAATCTTTAATCCATCTTGAGTTAATTTTTGTATAAGGTTTAAGGAAGGGGTCCAGTTTCAGTTTTCTGCATATGGCTAGCCAAAAACTGTCAATCTTTTATTTTGCATTGGCGTCTGTTTTAGGGAGGCCTTTCTCATGCAGGGTTATAAAAACACTCAGGTATATTGTCATCTGTAACTTTTATAGTTTTTTTTGTTTTTTTGTTTTTGTTTTTTAACATTTAGATCCTTAATCCATCTGGAGGTTATTCTCTGTGTATAATGTGAGGTGGGGATCTCACTATTTATTGGATATTTGGGTAATTCATCCTTTACCACTATTTAAAAATTTATCCATAAATCTCTGTAAATTTGGCCACCTATCTTCTTATTCTCTTGCTTAAAATCCTTAAATCACTTTACATTATTCTTAGAATAAAATTCAAATTCCTTCTCTTGGCCTAAAAAGCCATAGCCTGCTTCTGAAATTCATCTACCCCTCTGCCTTTGAGGGTTGTCCTCCAGCCACATGGGATTCCCTCTGTCCAGACACTTCAGCTCATCCCAGCCTGAGTTTGCACTAACTTTGCACATTCCCTCTGGAGGCTCCAGCCTTTGTCTGCCTGGCTCTGTGACTCCTGCAGTTTTCAGCTCAAAGGCCGCTTCTTCGGTCTTCCTCAGACCAGTCTGCCCAGAGTGCCCACCGCAGGTACTACCGCATCATTCTTTAGTATGCCAGGGCACTTCTCACTATTTGAAATGATTCTACTTTTGTCTGTCACCCCTCACTATCAGGAGATCATCCAGGTCTGGTTCACTGCTGCAGCCCCAGCTGTAGTAGACGTTCAGTCGCAGTCCTGGGATGACTACGTCTAATCCGTGCTTTCACGTAGATTACATAGGACAAATATATAAATATTTACAATTTAAAAGTGGACTAAATTAATGAAAAAATTTATAATAGTGCATGTGATATGCAGTTAGGTAAAGAATTACGAAAGTGTTGTACCCCAAAATAACTGAAGTTTGGAGTTCAGTGGAATGAATTATTGAATCAAAGACATCCTTTTAGGACAGGTACCGTGGCTCACACCAGTAATCCCGGCACTTTGGGAGGCCGAGGTGGGTGGATCACCTGAAGTCAGGAATTCGAGAGCAGCCTGGCCAACATGGGGAAACCCCATTTCTACTAAAAAAAAAATCTGTCAAAAAGTAGCTGGGTGTGGTGGTGAGTGCCTGTAATCCCAGCTACTCAAGAGGCTGAGGAAAGAGAATTGCTTGAACCCAGGAGGCGGAGGTTGCATTGAGCCAAGATTGTGCCACTGCACTCCAGCCTGGGCAACAGAGTGAAACTGTGTGTTAAAAAAAAATCCTTCTACAATTTTGATAGAGGTTGCCAAATTGTACTGAGAAAGCTATAGCAATTTATCTTCCCAATGAGAGTCGATCAGAGCATTTGTCTCCCTGCACCCTGGCCAGCCCTAGATTCCTTTAGACTTTTTACAGCCCTACAAAATATAAAAATCAAGAAACAAAAACCACACAAAAACAAAGAATATCTCATTGGTTTTCAAAGTTGTAGTTCTTTATGTTTGAGTGTAGTTGCATATGATCTCATGATCATTTTATATGTATATTTTCTTCTTCTTTTTTTTTTTGAGATGGAGTTTTGCTCTGTTCCAGGCTAGAGCGCAGTTGTGTCGTCTTGGCTCACTGCAACTTCTGCCTCCCGGGTTCAAGCTGTTCTCCTGCCTCAGCCTCCTGATTAGCTGGGATTACAGGCGTGTACCACCATGCCCAGCTAATTTTTGTATTTTTAGTAGAGATGGGGTTTCACCATATTGGCCAGACTGATCTCGAACTCCTGATCTCGTGATCCACCTGCCTTGACCTCCCAAAGTACTATGATTGTAGTTATATGTATATTTTCTTAACCACCTGTTCATGTCCTTTGTCAGTGTTTCTATTTGGTTGTTTTTCTGATGATTTGTATGACTTGTTTTTTGAAAAAGTTCTCTCTGTTAGACATGTTCTAAGTATTTTTCCTAGTTTTGATCTTGCATATGGCTAGGCAGTCATTTTCATCAAATCTGTCCTTTATGATTTTTAGGTTTTCTGTCAGTCTTAGAAAAATCTTCCCTGTTGTAATGTATCTATTAATAGGTATCTCCATTATGTATGCATATCTCCTGTGTTTTTTTTTAAATTTTTTTTATTTACACCACTTCTCAGCAGGAAATTACCTGTGTTTTATTCTAGCATTTTTGTGATTTTACTTTTTTACTTTGAGTTTTTAATCATCTAATATTCATTTTAACATGAGAAATAAGGTGGGAAATCCAGCTTTTTTCACTCTCCCTCCCTCAGTGTGGGGAGCCAGTGACTAAGAGCAGTTGCTAAAAAACTCCACCTTTTCCTTATGGGTTTGCAAAGCCACCTTCACCATTTCCTCAATTTCCATATGCATTTATACCTATTTATGGACTGTATGCTTTTCTTTTGATTTTTCTATGCCTTTTTTGCTGCTTTAATTATTATAGAGTTAAAAATGTTTTCACATTTGAGAAGGTTAGTTCCTTATTTTAAATTTTTTGGCTACTCATGCATGTTTAGCTTTTTAAAAGAATTTGCATTATGGCTGCAGGGTAAAGAGAGGCAAAGGTAGATATGGATTGACCAGACGGAAGTTTCTTGCAGCAATCCGGGACAGCAATGGTAGGAGACTATGGGGTATGATGGGTCACCCATCCCACTTGATGTGTTTTGGCGGTGTATCCACTCAAATCTCATCTTGAGTTGTAGCTCCCATAAATCCCACGTGATATGGGAGAAACCAGGTGGGAGGTAATTTAATCATGGGGGTGGGTCTTTCTCGTGCTGTTCTCATGATAGTGAATAAGTCTTGCAAGATCTGATGGTTTTATAAAGGGGAGTTCCTACACAAGCTCTCCTGCCTGCCGCCATGTAAGACATGACTTTGCTTCTCACTTGCCTTCAGCTATGATTGTGAGGCCTCCTCAGCTATGCGGAACTGTGAGTCAATTAAATATCTTTCCTTTATACATTACCTGGTCTCTGTATGTCTTTATAAGCAGCATGAGAACAGATTAATACATCACTGAATTCCAAACCTCAGTCATTCTCAGGTGTACCACTTTTATACTTTTGGACATATATGTTACCTACACTATTATTAATTTTTTAATTAATTCAGTACACTTTTAAATTTCAAATATTTGTATTAGACTTGTCCTATGCAATACATCTGAAAGCATGGGCTAGATGTCATAGTTCTGTTTTTCTAACATATTAAACTGAATAGATTAGCAATTAAAATAAATATTATTTTCTCACGTAATATCTAAAATTATTTGTGCTACCAGCACACTGGTCATGGCAAACTGTTATCATCGGTTCTCTACTTAAAAAGGGGCCTACGCTGGTGGGTAATGTCTATTGCTTGATCAGGATGCTAGCTACACAGGTAGGCTGTTTGTGAAAATCATCAAGGTGTTCATTTGTATGATATATGCACGTTTCTATGTAACTATTATAATCCAACAAAAAGTTTTAAAAGCTTTAAAAAGTTTAAAAAGCTGGCCTGGCACAGTAGCTCACACCTGTAATCCTAGCACTTTGGGAGGCTGATCTGGGAGGATTGTTTGAGGCCAAGAGCTCAAGACCAACCTGGCCAACATAGCAAAATCCCATCTCTATTTTTTGAAATAAATTATTTTTTTAAAAAAAGCTTAGCTGTATTGTTTTGTGCCGACTACTGGTAAGGAGAGTTGTTACATGCGTCCTTACACAGGTTATACAAAGAAATAGACTAATGAAATGAGTAATAGCACATGAATTTAAGACATTGGTAGCAGTTCTCTTCTATAGGGTTCTGATGTTTATGTATTCTTAGTTCTGATGTCTCAAAAAGACCTGAAAAGGGCCACAGGTCTGAAACAGACCACAGATGATATCACAGGCCAGTCGTAACATTCATGAGATGGTAAGATGTTGGTAAATTTATCTGTAGGACAGAACTAGACAATAATGTCAACGTCCAAAGCCCCAATATCCTTATCTCTTTCTTAGTCTTTATTAAAAGTTCACAGAAATAAATGGAAAATGCCATCCTAACCTCACAGAGATCAAATTAAGCAGCGAATTTGCAGAGAAATCAAATATCTCATACTGGCCTGTCACAAACACTTATTCAGATGCAGATAAACACACACCACACTCTTTTTTTTACCCTAAGGTAATTCTGGCTTTGAGACTCCTAAATTCTCTACTTTTAGGGTTTACCTCTCACTGGGCACCCTTGGCACAAATATTTAGGTTATGAAATTTTTGATACTAAAATCTCACTGCCAAATAGAAGCTACTGCTTCCCAACATGGAGATTCAAATAGCTTGTATTTTTTGTTCTTTTAAAAACATAAAATAATCCAGTTTCCTTCTGTAGGTAGCCATGGAGACTAAGTGCAAGCATTGCAGTGACTAATACTAAAAATGATAGCATTCTTCAAGGACATCTATTAATATGCTTCTCATTAAAAAGCAGTAAAACTAGCTACCTTAAAATTTATTGTCCGATTTTCAATTGTAAGTCTCCCTGGCTTCCCGATTGTTTGAGGGCCAGTTGAATAGAAAACACTCATGGACAAAGAAGCAGATGATTGCTTGTCAGAGGAAAACTTGAAGTCTTGTTTCCTCCAGTGTCTCTCAAAGACCTACTCATTTCCCATTTCTACCATGTGGGTCTCCTTCCAGGGGGTTCTACATTTCAATCTGGAACACTGTTTCTTATACCTAATCTCCCCAGCACTGGAAGCCCGAGTGTGAGTGTGTCATTCCTAACCTTTAAAAGGCTTCTCTCTCCATCCAAGAGTCCCTGGGAGACCTTCCTGAGATGGCACACTCACTCACAATGTATACTTTAAGGCCAACCCATTTGCATAATCTGCTTTCTGGAAAGCGTTTGGAATCTTAGGCCAATTAAATTTCACCTCAAGTGTCTCAAAATCCAATTGGTCAGGGCTGCCAGCTTCTTTTGTTGTTCCCCCTGCAAAAAGCAGTACAGCCCTTTCTGCCAATGCAATGTGTTTAAAGCACTGCTGAGGTAGGGATTAGCATGAGGCTTCCAATTGCAGCTTCAGAGATCCTGGTGCCAGGTGATGTAATTCTACCAACTGAGTCTCAAATGGGGGTTCAGGACACGACCCACAGAGTGGAGCATCTGCCAGTGCAAACCTGCACTGGCTATTTAAAGAGTTCCCTGGTGAGGAAGGACTCAGGGCTGGAGGACAGGAACAAGGTGGCCACGAAGTCCTGCTCTGGGCAAGTCTTTGCAAATGGAGCTCAGTGTGCTGGAGGTGAGGACAGGGCAGGGTTGAGGGGCCAACCATTCACGAGGTGACAGAGGGTGCTGGCAGCAGGCAGGCAGAATACAAGAGGAAGTAGGGTCCCACCTGGGCAAAGGAGTCTATTTTCTTCTATCACAACTTGACAAGGCCACATGGCATCAGCCTAGCGTATCATAATTGTGTTCACATAGAGTGCAGCACATTTGTTATCTCCTCACCTTTCACATTTGCAATCTGATAAGAGACAAAGAGAGTTAAAAAAAACTGTGAATTTTAGCTGTTATTTTAGATTGCCCAAATGTTCCTTCCTCACCCGGTTAGTAGTATTATAAAACATGGATTTCTAGCTTCAAAGAGGAGGCAAGGGTGTGATCAAGATGTGATATACTTTTCTAAACTGTATTTCAATCTTTATATTATTTTAGGACCTGTATTCTCAATTACATGGTCTCAGTTTTACGGCTTGATATAATTCCTTATACCTGATTCAGTGCAGAGCTTTGTCTCCTTCCAAAATTTCATCTCACAGAAGCACGTTCTCTTAGGTTGAGTTCTCCCAGAAGGAGACTCTGAGTCAAGGATTCAGATATAAGAGGTTTATTAAGGAAAGACTCCCAGAGGCAGCAGAAAATAAATGGGAGGAGGATAGGGAAAGGGATTATGTCCAGCAAGGGTGTGATTTCATGTAAAGTCCCAGCCTTAGCCTGATCTCAAGGAAAGGGAGTTCTAGAGCATAAATTATGCCTCAAAGAATGTCCTTCCTGAGGCAAAGGAGCTGGGCTTTTGACTCGTAGCCCAGTCAGTGGCCTTGGCCAAGGAGAGTGGGAGGTGGGGTGGCCACAGGGACACAGAACTCCCAGAACCCTGCTGGTTCTCCATATGGGCTGACTGGCTCTAATAACAGGTCACAGGTGCCAGCCTTTAACCACAAAGCACTTAATTGGGATGGGCACACAGAGCTAGCAAGAGACCCCGGGGGATCTGGGAGGCCACCAACAGTGCTGGCATGGCGCAGCACCTCCAATACTACCCTGCACATTGCCCAGCACCAGTTATGGGTCCTTCATTACATTTTGCTGCAAGAGGAAATTAATAATATCTTTTGACAGTCCTGGTTTTGGCTTTTCATCATCCAAAGATGTACTTCCTTCCTCCAGTGGGTAGAAGTGGGTGTCCCTGGAATGCCTCTGTAAGACAGAGCAGCCGTCCCAGTTGAAGATGACCCGGGCCATTTGAAAACTTCGGAGGACATACCTTTGGCTCTCCTGGTCTCTTAGTTGAGTGATTTTCTGAGACAGGCACTTGCAGACAGATGCAGAGAGTGGGTTCACAGAGCCTGGCTGTGGATGGCCAAACATTTCATAGAATCTATCCAGGGATTTCCGAAGGCCATCGTCTTCTTCCTTCTCTGATTGGCCTTTCACAGCAGGGTCAAGCCAGAAGTTCTCAGAGGCCCAAGAGTTATTTTGTTCTGTATTTAGGTTACTGGTGTCTGCAAGACAAAACACATTCCAATACTCAAACATACTCAAACAAGCAATCAAAAATATCAGAAAGCAAGCCAAGAGCAGATGATGTCTATTTTCAGTTCAACACGCTCGCTGCTCCTGAGTAACTGGCAATACGAAATATCAGCTGATTTCAGAATCTGTTTTCACCATCCTGAGGTTATGCCACTTGCTAGCTCACAACAAGACCATCTTACTTGCGTGATGGATTTTTAACCTGATTTCCCTGTGTAGAAATTCAGGGTGCCTGTGAACTTGGATGGAAAAAAATATACATATATATTTATTTATTTTCACTAACCACAACCTGAAATCACGCATTTTCTCCCATGATGAACGTAGGCAGCAAATCACAGTATTAATAGCAAAACCTGTAACTTTGTCACCAATAGATCTCAGCTGCTAAAGGAAAAACTTGAGATTGTAATGCCCACCCCCAAACTGGGAAGGTGCTGAAAGACCAAAGAATAACTTGGACAAGTCCAGCTTGATGAGTAGATGAGTTTATTAGGACTTAGGAACAGGACACTCCTGGATGCTAGCAGGATAGCTCTAGAAATCCGTGCGTGTGCACGATGGAACTGTTTTCCTTAGTAGGTTCTCAGATTCTCTCCGGGATGTCTGGGTTCTCAAGGACACCCGCTCCTCAGCAGGGCACTATGTATGGCCTTAGCTCACTGCCCAGCCTTGAGGGTTCAAGCAGCAGACATTCACTCTTAAGTAACCTGGTGTGTGACCCTTCCCACTATAACAACTATTTTCACATCATATTATAGTATGTCAAAGGTGTTTACAAATTATTTATGCTACCACTATGCTGTGGACTGAATTGTGTCCCTACAAAATTCACATGTTGAAGCTGTAACCCCTGACATGACTATATTTGGAGAGACGGCTTTTTTGGGAGGTAATTCAAGTTAAATGAGGCATATAGGTAGGATCCTAATCTGATAGGATTGGTAACCTTATGAGAGGAAGTGACACATAGTGAGAAGGCGGTTGTCTGCAAAGCAGGAAAGGAGCCCTCACCAGAAGCTGACCAGGCAGGCATCCTGCTCTTGGACCTCCATGCCCGACCCTGATATAAGCTTTTATAAATCACTACCTTTGACATTTCCCTGCCCCAGCAAACTCAACCAGTAGCTATAATAAATATAGCTGTACTTGCCAATGCTGAAGGAAGGTGCATGGTGCAGTGGGTGGAGCTTTAGGAAAGGAGGTGGGATTTCGGTTTGGGCCCTCGTTTTGTTACTAGCTGGAAATGACACCTTGGACAAGTCATACAACATTTCTGCGTTTCAACTTTCTCAACTTTCAAAATGAGGGTTTTACTAAACAAACTCTCTTCTAGAATATCTACGGTAATATAAAGAGAAATAGATTATCCAAAAGCATCAGCACAGCCTAAAAGAATGCGGACATCACGAAGAAAGAAAGAAGAAAAAAAAAAACTAAAAAGTGAAAAAAAGCATGTGGACATGCGTTCTTTGAGTCACACGCAGGCCTACACATGGACAAGCATTCATTCATTCAACAAATATTTATTCAAAACTGATACTCAGGCAACTCATTACAAGTTGTTGAAGATATAGATGGATGTTGGAGACCATGTCCCTCATCTAAGGTACTTGAAACCTAAGTAGGAAGAAAGGACAGCATTACAGACATTAAACAAGTGAAATATACGATGTATGCAGATATGAAATGATATAGTGATGTTAAGTGAGACAGTGTGGACTCAGTGGACAGCACAGTGCAAGGGGAGCAGGAGTGCATGCTCCTCTTTGGAGGAGGTGGCCTTCAATCTTATTCTGAAAGGACCATGGCAATAGAGAAGCAGGTTGATGAATAAAGTCCAAGTGGTGAGAAGAAATAGAAACTAAATGTTTCCACGGCTGGTTCCAGTTCTCCTCCTCTGCCCGCTGGCCTTTCTTCAGCAGCCTGAGGCTGAGCCTATAAGCTCGAGGAGAGAGAGAACTCAGTGTGGCCAGGGGAACCCAAAACAGAGATCATGCTTTGTAAATAATTTGTAGGACGGTATTTCCACTACACTAGTTTCCAGAAAACTTAAACCTATGTCCCAGCCAGACTCAGTGGCTCGTGCCTGTAATCACAGTACTTTGGGAGGCTGAGGTGGGAGGATCACGAGGTCAAGAGATCGGGACCATCCTGGCCAACATGTTGAAACTCTGTCTCTACTAAAAATATAAAAATTAGCCGAGTGTAGAGGCGCACGCCTGTAGTCCCAGCTACTCCAGAGGCTGAGGCAGGAAAATTGGTTGAACCTGGGAGGTGGAGGTTGCAGTGAGCCGAGATCGTGCCACTGCACTCCTGGTGACAGAGCAAAACTCCATCTCAAACAAAACAAGACAAAACAACAAAAAAACCCCAACAGCACAAAAATATGTCCCAGGTCCCTCATTGTTTCTTAAGGAATAGTAAAGAAAGTTTCCTTGGCCCTGCTATGCCCAGAGCTTCTGCCCAAGTTCCTCCCAACCACCCTGTCACTGGACTGAAGCCTCCAGGATGGGTGGAAGCGGAGGGAGGCAGATGCTGGTCTCTTTCTGGTCCTGATGGCATAGAAGCAGCAGGGGAGGAGTTCTTGGCCTGTACTCTTCACAAGTGCCAAGTTTGTGAAAACTAAGGAAGGACTGAGCTATTGTCTCAGACGGAAGGAGGCTAAAAACAGCCACGACAGCCAAACACACACAAAAATGTTTAAACCGCATCTTTTCACTGTAAACACATTACTGGGGCAACTGGAGAGCTGTGAATGGGGTCTGAGGATTAGATGGTAGTCATGGATCATGTTAATTTCTTGATTTGGATGGTTTTCTTGTGTTTTAGAAGAGAATGTCATTGTTTGTAGAAAAATCAGGAGTGGTGGCCTTCAAGTGAGCAAATCTCAAATAATTCATTAAAAATGATTTTGGTTTTAAAAAATTGTGAAAAAATTAAAAGAAACCTTTGGAGGGATAGATGTTAAAATTTCCTTTGGTGGCTTACTTTACTATCAAGCAACCAAATAAAGTCTTAGCTCGGGTAGTTGCCTAACATATGATGTTGCTGTTAGAAAGTTGAAGGGAGACAGGAGAGGGAATAGGGTCCCATGATGGCAGGATGAGGGGTCCCTTCCCCACTTCTTCCCCGAAGATGACCTTGTCCTGGGAAGGGGCTGGAGGTGTAGTGGCTAGAAGACAGAAGCTGGGAAGGGCTAATGAGATGGGTGGGGGAGAGAGCAGGGTATCCCCAGCAGTAACACTGGGAAAGTTGAACCCCCAAAACTGTCCACTTACATAGAAAACTCCAAACAACATGGCAGGTACTTGGTAATTAAATAGTCAATGTGCTTTGATAGGCAGGATTTTAAATTTTCACCTGTGTTTCATTTAATTTAAAATTTTTGAAGTCCAGTGTCCACAAAAGAGTCTAAAAGTTAGCTGTCTCCTATATTTTTCATGCACATGTCAGGCAGTCTGCCAGCCGTCTTCAGAGAAACAACTCTTCCCCTTCAGAAGACCAATGACATACGGGTTGAGTCATTTACTATGTCAGTTCTTTTGAACGCTGCCTGCAGTCCATTTCAGTCTTTGATTTCCTTTTAAAATTTGCTGTACTACAAACTATAAAGCCTCCTCTCTAATCATGAGGCTGTTACAGCTTTTTGGATGTCACCATTTCTTTGCCAGCAAATGACGCTAACTGCTTTTCCTTTCCTGATGTGCCCATGTGTGGAAAGAATGATGGGTACTAGGTCAGTTCCTGTTCAGCGGTGCATTCTTACAGCTATGTTCAAACCCTACCTTATTCTGTTAATATATCCCAACCTTGTAGAGCTGTCAAAAGGGGATAGCAATGTCTCCAAGGAGACTCTAGGGATGTTTTTGTGTCAGGGATTCAAAGTGCTACTTGCATTTAGTGAGTGGAGTCAAGGATGTAAACATTCTACAGTGCACAGGACAAAAAATAGTCCTTTCCCCAAAAAGCAGTTATGTCTCCCCACCCCTCCCCTGGCTCAAAGGATGGATCTTGAAAGGAGTGGGAACTCAATGGTGAATCCCATTGCATTGTAATATGTTGATTTGCCTTGAGCTCCCTAAGAGACTTTTGCTACCAGCCGGGAGCGGTGGCTCATGCCTATAATCCCAACACTTTGGGAGGCTGAGGTGGGCGGATCACCTGAGGTCGGGAGTTCGAGACCAGCCTGACCAACATGGAAAAACCCTGTCTCTACTAAAAATACCATATTAGCTGGGCGTGGTGGTACATGCCTATAATCCCAGCTACATGGGAGACTGAGGCAGTGGAATCACTTGAACCCAGGAGATGGAGGTTGTGGTGAGCCAAGATTGTGCCATTACACTCCAGCTTGGGCAACAAGAGCAAAACTCGGTCTCAAAAAAAAAAAAAAAAAAAAAGAAGAGAGAGACTTTTGCTGTTGGTCCCCATTCCCTGCACAACACCCTTCTTGCTAGTACCTACTATGCATTTTCCCTTCTCAGACCTTGAGATGGCTTTTTTTTCCCTTCAACAATGTTTGAGGGGAAAAGCCATTGGCACTGGTCCCAATGATTCTGGAATTATTTGCATTGAACAAAACTACCCTTTTTATTTCAATATATTTTCTATCATGAATAGGATTTCTTTAAAACTTCACAAGAAGAAAAGGAGGAGGGCAGGGCTTGATATCACAATGCTTTTGCACGCATCCATTGTTAAATTTTCTCTTTGCCAACGAGAGATAACATACAGATACTTCAGATTCCCTTTTTTTTTTTGAGACGCGGTCTCACTCTGTCACCCAAGCTGGAGTGCAGTGGCATGATCTCAGCTCACTGCAGCTTCTTACCTCCCGGGCTCAAATGAACCTCTCACCTCAGCCTCCCGAGTAGCTGGGACCACGGGACCACAGGTGCATGCCACCACGCCCGGCTAATTTTTGATATTTTTGATAGAGATGGGGTTTTGCCATGTTGGCCAGGCT